TCTCAATAGTCGCTCATGCAAACCATACTTGATTTGTTCCAGAGCGCACATATATGTCTTAAAAACTCGACGTGTGATGATGGTATCGTAGTGACATAGTCGACGGCTTTCTCCCCCGCCCTCGCTGCGGCAAAGCCTGGTCTTAGTCCTAAAGCAACGCATGAAAAACGTGGGAAAACTGGGCTCCTCCACCTCCGGAGTCCGCAGACGTCTCGCCGTCACTGGTAGCATTAATGACTTCTGAACTCCTCATCAGCCAAATGCAAGATATATTTATGCCTTGACTGCATGAAACCGTCTCCCAGTCTGTCACGTGAAAGCGTTTCCACACTGTTTTAAATAGTTGAGACACATATATAGCAAGGGTTTCAAGTGACACATGCCGCTAAAGTGAGTTTGCGCTTTGGATATCATCCTTCGAACATTTTCAAAATCCGTGTGAGGTAGACAGGGTGTGTGTTACAAAAATGCTGTATTTGCACAGGGTGTAAACATTCTGAGGATAAACGGAACGAATGCAACTATTTTATTTTGTAACTGAAATAAGGACGAGGGACCAAAGTCTTAACATACCGTTTCAGTGGTATGTATGTATATCGATGTAAGCTATACTGGTAACATCAATGCTATCATTTTGATGGTCGGTGTGGTCGATGCTAGCCTGCAGGATGTTTGCATTCTGTTCTTTGTTTGACGTATAACACACATACACACACACACACACACACACACACACACACACACACACACACACACACACACACACACACACACACACACACACACACACACACACACACACACACACACACACACACACACACACACACACACACACACACACACACACACACACACACACACACACATATATATATATATATATATATATATATATATATATATATATATATATATATGCACATATATGCATGTAAAATGTTAGTCAAGACAGAAGTCTATGTTTGTAATGGCTGCGCAACTTTTTTGACGACGCTTGTCTTGAGTGATTATTGTGTCTTGAGTGATTAAACACTTCAAAATAAAAATAAATTTTCTGGTATTGTTTCTA